CAGGCAATTCTCCTGCCTCAGCCTCCTGAGTAGCTGGGATTACAGGCACGTGCCACCATGCCCAGCTAATTTTTTGTATTTTTAGTAGAGACGGGGTTTCACCACGTTGACCAGGATGGTCTCGATCTCTTGACCTCGTGATCCACCCGCCTCGGCCTCCCAAAGTGCTGGGATTACAGGCTTGAGCCACCGCGCCCGGCCTTTCTAGATTAATTTTTAGGCAAGGAGGTCGATTCGATAAAATGCGACGCTCCAAAGAGCAGATGATAAATAAGAATAGCTTTTGGGGCGGGGCACGGTGGCTCATGCCTGTAGTCCCGGCACTTTGAGAGGCTGGGGTGGGCAAATCACTTTTGGTCAGGAGTTCAAGACCAGCCTGGCTAAGATGGTGAAACCCATCTCTACTAAAAATACAAAAATTAGCCAGGCGTGGTGGCACACGCCTGTAATCCCAGCTACTCAGGAGGCCGAGGCAGGAGAATCATTTGAACCTGGGAGGCGGGGGTTGCAGTGAGCCCAGATCGCGCCACTGCACGCCAGCCTGGCGACAGAGCAAGACTCCGTCTCAACCAAGAGAAAAAGAAAACAGCTTTGAGTTTCCCCCAAATTTTAACTGAATTTAAGAGTACAGACAAGTGACTGTTTTAAAGTAGTAAGGCACCTAGCCCTTTTTTTCTCATTCACTAATTCTAAAACACAAATCCCTTCTGGCCCCAAACGCAGACTGTTTGACAGCTGTTTCAGAACGAAACAGCTGCCGTTTCTCGCTGCAAGGACAGTGGTTGCAGTCAAAACGGCTTTGGGCAATCTATGACTCTCACTTCCTTTAACTGCACTTAATGACCGCAGATGACACTTGGGAGGGTGCTTTGTGAGCAGGGAGCCACAACAAAGACAGTATTCCTTCAATGCTAGTGTTCAGCCTCAGCGCGCCAAAGCCCGATTAGTTATCGGCAACCAGCGTGCCCTCTGACAAGCACGTCAACGACCCTGCCATCACCCGCCGCTCCGAAGACTACCAGCTCTTCCTTCATCAGGAGCTGCCTCCCACGGCGCGGCGGGGGCGGCTACGTCACTAGGATCCCGGCGACCCGCAGCCCTGTGGCCTCAGCCCGGCGACCCGCCTCAGGTGAGCCTGGCTGAATCAAAGCATCGCGGCCGCCGCGGAGGCCGCTGTGGGGGAGGGGGGAGGGCCAGGCCGACGCTCAGCCCCCTCTCGTCTCACCTGTTTGAGCGCCGCCTCTTCAGGAGGGCCCGGGCAGGGGGCACCGACCGGTCGCAGAAACGGAAAATGGTGCCGAGAATCCTAACCAGCCATCTGTACATACCAGGCCCGAGCAGCAGCGGCGGCCGACACACCCCGAGACGCAAACCCCAGAGCTGTCGCCGCCGCTGCCGCCTTCGCCGCCTCAGCCACCTCAGCCAGAGTTCGGTCGCTGATTTGTGACGCGATTTAAGGGCCCACAGATACAGCGTCCCCAGGGATACCCGAGGACCCCGCCCGCCACCGCTCCTGACGTCACCTCCTCCCGCCCGACCGGAAAGCTTCATTCTCAATCTGCGCACGCGCAATCTGGCAGCGCCCCCTATTTCCGAGACCAGCAACAAGAATAAGTGTGGGACGGCCCCGGCCCAATCGCTGACGAGATCGGAAGGGCTGTGGGCGGGGTTTGCTCTTCGGCGGAGCCAATTCCGAGCCGGCCCGTGGGACAAGGCCCACAGGCCACACGTGAGGCTGCTCCGCTGAGGAGGAGGCGTTCCGGGGTCCCAGAGGCCATTTGGTGCTCAGTGTTTGCTGAGTGCACACGTAAAGGCGGATCAGGTTAATGAACACACGTTTACCGTTTTAGGAGCCGTTTATTTTTTACTTACCTTTTGCCTCGTGCTTTACACGCATTGTCACCTTAATGTCGCCCAGCAATCGCATATGACAGAAAGTTTTATGCCAACTTTATAAGTCAAGGAAATTGGGGCATAGAGCGATTAAGTTATTTGCCTAAGATCACGAAACTAACTAGAGACGCAGCTGGAACTTGAACCTGGGGGCTGAGTACAAGCGTCAGTCCCTCGCCCTTGAGGTCAGTCTACTTGGAGACGTGTACGTAGATAATTACAAATTACGATACAGCATAAGTGGTTACTGTGATAAAGGTGTGTGCAGAGTGCAGTGGGAGCCAGAGAAAGGAAAACCACACACTGAGGGAGAGAAGGAAAGGGCAGATGTCAAGAAAGTCTTCACAGAAATTTAAGGGTGAAACCTGCAGGCCATTAATGTCTCCTACCCTGGGCTGGTAAGGAATGAGTCTCATTACCCTCACTCTACAATCCCAAGGTCGTACTTCTAGTTAATTGTCTACTATAGGCTGGGAGAGGTGGCTCCTGCCTTAAATCCCAGCACTTTGGGAGGCCGAGGTGGGCAGATCGCTTGAGCCCAGAAGTTTGAGACCAGCCTGTGCAACATAGTAAAACCCTGTCTCTACAAAAATTAGCCGGGTGTGGTGGCATGCACCTGTAGTCCCAGCTACTTGGTAGGTTGAGCTGACAGGGCTGGCCGAGCCCAGGAGGTAGAGGCTGCAGTGAGTCGAGATCACACCACTGCACTCCAGCCAGGGTGACAGAGTGGGACCTCAACACACCCCCCCAAAAAATTATCAACTTTAGAACAAGTCCCACCCTATTTAGTGACAGAAAATCCAGTCCCCTCTTCTAAACAATCCTGAGAATCCTCAAAGGTTTTCATGCCCCACAAATCCACTCTTAACTTGTTTCCTACTTATGATTCAGTTAAGGCCAGAGTTTTACACTTGCTTGAACTCGAACTCTGGCACTCCCCAGTACAGCCTCTTTCTTTCCTCAGTAGACAGCATTCTGGATCGGATGTGGTGGCTCATGCCTGTAATCCCAGCATTTTGGGAGGCCAAGACAGGTGGATCACTTGAGCTCAGGAGTTCAAGGCCAGCCTGGCCAAGATGGTGAGATTTCCCATCTCTACTAAAAAAAATACAAAAATTAGCCAGGCATGGTGGTGTGCGCCTCTAATCCCAGGTACTTGGGAGGCTGAGGCAGGAGAATCACTTGAATCTGGGAAGTGGAGATTGCAGTGAGTTTGCACTATTGCACTCCAGCCTGGGTAACAGAGCAAGACTCCGTCTCAAAA